TCAACCGTTATGAATTTTTCATTCGTTGTCAGACCGAGAGGAGGGGCGTAAATGCAAAGTCGATATTTCCCTGTTTACCATTTTAAACATGTTTTAAGTTTCTTGTTGCAAAAAGATGACTACATATTTTAAGAAAAAAGGGCACAAGGTAGCCCCACCCACCCGCCCTATCTCAATTGTGATGATTTTTTTTTATTCGTTGTTAGCCAAGAAAGCGGAGCTTAACTGCAAAACACTTATTTCTCTACGAGAAATTAAAAACATGTTTTTGAGTATCGTGTTGTTCAAAGAATACTAAGTATATTAAGGACAAAATAAAGCCAAATTAGACCCCATCCATGCCCGCCCCGATCTCAATTCTCAATTGTGATGAATATTTCATTCGTTGTTAGATCGAGGGGTGGGGCTTATTTGCAAGATCTACAATTGTTTACAATAATGTACGATTTTAAACATGGTTCAAGTTTCTTGTTATGAAAAGACAACTACGTAAGTATATTAAGAAAAGAGGCAACATATAAGCCCCGCCCACCAGACCTGGTGATGATTTTTTTTAATCGTCGAGAGCCAAAAAGGCGGAGTTTAATTGCAAAATCCTTATTATTTTTCGACAAGAAATTATCATGTTTTTGAGTATCGTGATATTGAAAGAATAGCATGTATATTGAGAAAAAATTAAAGGCAAAGATTAAGCCCCACCCATACTTGCCCTCATCTAAATAGTAATGAAGTTTTCATTCATTGGCAGACTTAGGGACGGACCCGGATTTCTTACAAAAATTTACCATTTTAAACGTGTTTTAAGTTTCTAAGAATAAAAAAATCATCACAATTGAGATGGGGTGCGTGGGCGGGGTTAATACTTTGCCTTTTTTCTTAATATACATAGTGTTCTTTGAAAGACAGCATACTCAAAAACATGTTTTTAATTCCATGTAAAGAAACAAGTATTTGCAGTTAAGCTCCGCCCTCTTGCTTCACGACGAATAAAAAATTATCACAATTGAGATAGGGCGGGTGGGCGGGCTGACATTTTGGCGCTTTGTTTTAGTATGTGTAGATTTCTTTTCAGGACACGAAATTTAAAACATATTTAAAATGGAAAATTTGTATAAGGAAATATCGATTTTGCAATTAGGCTCCACCCCATAATTGCAAAATCCATATTTCCTTGCAAAGATGTACCATTTTAACCACGTTTTAAGTTTCTCGCTGCGAAAAGATGGCTATGTATATTAATAAAAAAAAGGCAAAATATAAGCCCCGCCCACCCACCAAATCTCAATTCTGATGATTTTTTTTTATTCGTCGTAAGCCGAGGGGCGGAGCTTAATTGTAGTATCCATATCTCCTCTTACAAAAATTTACAATATTTTTCGTGTTTTAAGTTTCTAGGAATAAAAAAAATCATCACAATCGAGATGGGGTGGGTGGGCGGGGTTAATATTTTGCATTTTTTTCTTAATATACATAGAATTCCTTCAAGAAGACGACACTGGAAAACATGCGTTCAATTTCTTGTAAAGAAATAAGTATTGTGCAGTTCAGCTCCGCCCTCTTGGTTCACGGCGAATAAGAAAAATCATTACAATTGAAGTAGGGCGGGTGGGCGGGCATACATTTTGTCTTTTTGTTTTAATAGATATGTGTAGACTTATTTGCATAACATTAAACTTAAAACATGTTCAAAATGGAAAATTTGTGTAAGCAAACATCAATTTTGCAATTCGGCTCCACCACATTATTGAAAAATCCATATTTTCTTGAAAAAGTGCACCATTTTAGCATTTCTTGTTGTGACAAGATGGCAATGTATATTAAAATAAAGGCAAAATATAAGCCCCCCCCCACCCCCCCAATCTCAATTCTGATGATTTTTTTTTAATCGTCGTAAGTCGAGGGGCGGAGCTTAATTGTAGTATTCATCTCGACCCTTACAAAAATTTACAATATTTTTCGTGTTTTAAGTTTCTAGGAATAAAAAAAATCATCACAATCGAGATGGGGGGGTGGGCGGGGTTAATATTTTGCATTTTTTTCTTAATATACATAGAATTCCTTGAAGAAGATGATACTGGAAAACATGCGTTCAATTTCTTGTAAAGAAATAAGTATTGTGCACTTCAGCTCCGCCCTCTTGGTTCACAGCGAATAGGAAAAATCATTACAATTGAAATAGGGCGGGTGGGCGGGCATACATTTTGTCTTTTTGTTTTAATAGATATGTGTAGACTTATTTGCATTACATTAAACTTAAAACATGTTCAAAATGGAAAATTTGTATAAGCAAACATCAATTTTGCAATTAGGCTCCACCACATTATTGAAAAATCTATATTTTCTTGAACAAGTGCACCATTTTAGCATTTCTTGTTGTGAAAAGATGTCAATGTATATTAAAAAAATGGCAAAATATAAGCCCCGCCCACCCGCCCAATCTCAATTCTGATGATTTTTTTTATTCGTCGTAAGCCGAGGGGCGGAGCTTACTTGTAATATCCATATCTCCTCTTACAAAAATTTACTATTTTTTTCGTGTTTTAACTTTCTAGGAATAAAAAAAATATCACAATCCAGGTGGGGTGGGCGGGCGGGGTTAATATTTTGCCTGTTTTTCTTAACATACATAGGATTCTTTGAACAAGACGACACTCGAAAACACGCTTTCAATTTCTTGTAAAGAAATAAGTATTGTGCACTTCAGCTCCGCCCTCTTGGTTCATAGCGTTTAAAAAAAATCATTACAATCGAGACAAAGAGGGTGGGCGGGCTTACATTTTGCTTTTTTATTTTAATATGTGTACACTTCTTTTCACGACATGAAACTTAAAACATGTTCAAAATGGAAAATTTTTATAACGAAATATCAATTTTGCAATTAGGCTCCACCACATTATTGAAAAATCCATATTTTCTTGAAAAAGTGCACCATTTTAGCATTTCTTGTTGTGAAAAGATGGCAATGTATATTAAAAAAAAGGCAAAATATAAGCCCCACCCACCCGCCCAATCTCAATTCTGATGATTTTTTTTTATTCGTCGTAAGCCGAGGGGCGGAGCTTAATTGTAATATCCATATCTCCTCTTACAAAAATTTACAATATTTTTCGTGTTTTAAGTTTCTAGGAATAAAAAAATCTCACAATTGAGATGGGGTGAGTTAATATTTTGCATTTTTTTCTTAAAATACATAGAATTCCTTGAACAAGACGACACACGAAAACATGCTTTCAATTTCTTGTAAAGAAATAAATAATTTGCACTTCAGCTCCGCCCTCTTGATTCACGCCGAATAAAAAAAATCATTACAATTGAGACAGGGCGGGTGGGCGGGCTTACCTTTTGCTTTTTTGTTTTAATATGTGTAGACGTCTTTTCACGACATGAAACTTAAAACATGTTTAAAATGGATAATTTGTATAAGGAAATATCAATTTTGCAATTAGGCTCCACCACATTTTTGAAAAATCCATATTTTCTTGAAAAAGTGCACTATTTTAGCGATTTTAAGTTTCTTGTTGTGAAAAGATGGCAATGTATAGTAAGAAGAAGGCAAAATATAAGCCCCGCCCACCCGCCAAACATGCCAAAAATTCAATGCCACCCATATTCATTCCAAACTCAATTGTAATGAATTTCTCATTCGTTGTCAGACTGAGGGGCGGAGCCTAATTGCAAAAGCGATACTTTCCTAGAAATATTTACAATTTTAAACATGTTTTACTTTTCTTGTTGTGAAAAGAAGACTACACATATTAAGAAAATGTAAGCCCTTGCAGTTAACGGCGACTTTTGTTGATCTCGTATTATGTACGTACAGTGTATCTGTAATATCAGTATTATCAAACTCATTCATATTGTTGTAGTAGTGGTGTAGTACAAGGGTCAAATCTTGAACTGCTGTTATATGTTATGTTTTTCCATGATACTTGGTCAAATAAAAATTGTTGTATAGTAGGCAGAGTGCCACTTACTTTTTTCTACCTTGTGTCTATAATCCGTTTCACCATTACAATTCAACGCTTTTAAATTGTTTTAAATTCTGTAATTGTATATGTATATGATTATAGGTCATGGAAGCTTGCCGACTCTCACTTTATATCGACTTTACTAAATCCCCAAGGACTCACGACAAATATCACACGCATTTGTATGACTGGTTGCCTAAATGCTTCATATCTTAATAAAAATCTGAAGTAAACTATATATTTGGTACTATGTCTAGATTGGAGATAACTAAAGGTAGAATTGAAATTTGGTGAAGATCTATCATTACCTTCGTGTTCATTCATAAATCGTAGATATTTTGAAATTTTGGTGTGGCATGTTTGGATTATGTTGTGCGAAATCAATGACATTTCTTGTTGACGTGAATTTCGTCTAGTTCTTTGAAGAATTTTCCATGCAGTCTGACTCAAGAAATACGTAAATACTTGTCTCTTGTATAAATTTTATAACTTCTTGAATCCCCAGATGACTTCGGATGAAGTCTTCTATATTCTGTGAATGATCCTCCTGTTGAGATGTTTAAATTTTCCAAATCAGTTTTTGACCATTTAATTACACATTCCAAAAGAGTATGTTAGCAGTGAAACAGAACTTAAATTAATTTTAATCTTGCCAGATATTGTTCTTCGAGCTTTGTCTTAGTTTTGGTACGGCAGGACTGATGAAAGCCCATTATTGTTATTATGATTACAAAATCGATTACAGATTTCGTATAATTTCATCGCCTGACTCCTAATCAAGTCCACCTTCCCGCGATCCGTCCGCGTCTCCTTCGCCAATCCCGCCTCGCTGACCCGCCGCCGCACGGCCGCCGCCTCCGATCCTCCGCGTCTCCACCATCCGTCCCCGAATCCGAAATGAATCACGTCGTCCGGTGCGCGGGAGCGGTCCGTGCGCCGTCGGCGGCGGTCGTGCGCAGTCGTGCGGCTGCCATTACTGCTCGCCGCCTCGGCTCGCGGCGCGCGCCTGCCATTGGTCGGCGTTCTCGGAGCCGGCGCTTGCCCATCTCGCGCCTCAGTCAGTCAGTGGCAGCCCCGGAGGACCGTTGCCGGCGTTCCGCAGCACAAGCAGAGCATTTGCACGTGTGGCGCGTCGTCGTCGCGACGCCCAGTGAGAGAGAGTGCCGGCGCGAGTGCAGATGGTGCGGTGCGGCGGATAGTGGTGCCATGTAGGTGTGAGCGAGCGTGTGATGCCGCTGTGCCGTGGCCGCGAGTGAACCATGCCACACGTCTCGTCCAGTGGCGGCGATGATCTCGGCAGCACCGATGAGGTTAAGGTGTTTAAGGACGAGGGCGACGGGGAGGACGAGAAGAGGTCCTCGGAGAACCTCACCGAGGAGAAGAGCAGCCTTATCGACCTCACCGAGTCGGAGGTGAGGAGCCGACGGGAGATACATGATGTTGGTGTTTTGTGATGATGATGATGATGGCGCGGAATTAGAATGTTTTGTTTTGGTTTGGTTTGGGTATTTTACGAATGACAATTTCTGACGGGGATTTTTTTTTCGCTGGGTTTGAGATGGTTGTCACTGATGGAGCGTCGGGGACGGAGTGATTGCGCTGTGATTGACACGGGCGACGCACTTGTAATGAAATCTACGACCGTACTATACCGGATGTTGATGTTGATTATTAATAAAAAGCGAGCCACAATGTGTTGGAAAAGTTCTCGACAGTGATTGTGATTCGGGGACGACGATGTTCAAGCTAAAGCCCCACTTGCACAACCCGAAATTCCGGCGTCACTAAAGAGCGGATTTATATGCAAACAAAAACACCATTTTTTCTGAAATATTCCAAGTATATAGTTTTCTCATAGAAACAACTTGATAATTCGTTTTAATAAATGCTAATTCGTCCAGCAAAGAATATTTTTTGAAAAATTTACGGGTTATATTTGGAAATCGTTGCCCAATTTCCAAGTCACAGTTTTGATTCGCGGAGATTTTGATGGCACTTCCTTTTATGAAGCTATGTTAAACATGTTGTGATATTTGAAACTTGCGCTCAGATCTTGTCCAAAAAATGAAAACCAAAAATGCGTCATTATTTCGAAAAATACCAGAAAACTCAAATGTTCAGACAAAATATGCAACGGATCGTCAAAATATGCAGCAATTAATCTACGTCAATCAATTTAAAAAAGAACAATCCAGATATTTAATAACGCATTTTATTTTTAATCCGATCTTTAGTCATTACAATAATCATGGTGTTAAAGAATCGAAAGTAAAATTAACGATGTGTAAACATGCTTATATTGTAAGATCGCGTCCACATTCATTGCGGAATTTACTCAACGAACTACCAAAAATTTCCACATGTTCATCTGAGAATGTAAATCTAAGAAACCATTACTTAGTTTGTAGTCGAGTCTTCCTTGGTCAGGATTTACCATGTCGGTGATTAAATCACACATATAGATTTTATTAGGAAAAAATGGTGGACACTTTTCATCAGTTTTTTTTCCATTTTTCTAAAAACGCGTTGAAGCAATGATCTTGCAATTTTTAAGAGAAGCATTGGCACCAAGGTTTGCTTTCCATAAATCTGAATTAAATACTCGGTTCATTTTTCCTTGAAGTTCCTGAAGAGATTGTTTCAAGGAAATCTGCGACGGTTTTGATTCGGGGAGCTTTAGACGCTTCCTTTATGAAGCTGTGTTGACACATGTTGTGATATTTGGAACTTGCGCTCACATGTTGTCCAAAAAATAAACCAAAAGCGTGTTACTTCAAGACAAAAACAAATTAAAATCGATCAACAATTTGATCAACTTCTTGATTCACAATTTTGCGTACCTATTAATAATTTTGTGCATTGTTTAGGTGCCTAATTAAAGCGAAACAGCGTAGCGCGCAACTGACAATTTTATCCCAGTTCGGTCAGGGATTATAAAGTCGGGTAGTTGAAAAATTGCGTACCGCAGTTCGGTTTCGATTTTCTTCAATTGACAAAGTAAAACATACAAATCTGCATCCATATGCTGAAACCGTCAAAATATGTACTGCATCGTTAAAATATACAATAATTAATTAATCTACGCCAATTAACTTAAAAAAGGACAATTCAAATAGAGAACTTCAGTCATCACAATAATCGTGGTTTTAAATATTCGACAGTAAAATTAACGATGTGTGCGGAATTTACCTAACGAACTATGAAAAATATCCAAATTTTTACGAAAATGTTAATTTTGATTCCATAAAGAGCATTCTATAAATTTAAGAAACCATTAATCAACTCGTAGTCTAATCTTTTCCATGTCGGTGATTCAACCACACACAGATTTTACAAAATTGGACAAAAGTTGTTTCGACAGAACTTCCCTCGCACCTAAGCAAATATAAACAAGAAAGGTCGAAAAAACGTAAAAGTAGAGTCTGTCGACGGACTCGATTACAATACTTCGTCTGCTTACGCTCGGAAAGAAAAAATATGAATGCAATGATAAATCACAAGTAAAAACTCATCATATTTTGCACATTTCGGGTAGGTTTAGGAATTTAACTTGTTACTACGGAAGTTTGCAATTTAACACCTTTAAATTTCACAAGTTTTCACAAGATTAATAGGGGCAAAATCAGTTTTATCTTGGCAAATACTAGAACCGCCCACCCGCCCCCTATTTTTCCAGAGGATATATCGTCTGCCGATATAAGTCTTATCTTAGAAAGTACTAGCCCCGCCCACCCGCCCGTTACTTTCTTGGAAGCTATGCCATTTGCCAAAATCACTCTTACCTTATTAAATACTAGCCCCGCCCACCCACCCCTTTTTTCTCACTGGCAGGGTTAAGTTTAACTTTTTCTTTTAGTCTCTTATAAGCACCCTCTTTATTCGAGCGATTACTCTTAATATTGTTCAGTCATTTGCCAAAATAAGACTTGTGTTAGCTAGTACTAGGCCCGCCCACCTATCCTCTGAGAAAATAGGGGCGGATGAGCGTGACTAGTATTTGCTCAGATAAGACTGAATTTGGCAGACGCCATATCCTCTGAGAAACAGAGGGCGGGTGGGCGGGGCTAGTATTTGCTAAGATAAGACTGATTTTGGCAGACGCCATACCCTCTGAGAAAATAGGGGGCGGGTGGGCGGGGCTAGTATTTGCTCAGATAAGACTGAAGATCTCGTCCACATTCATTGCGGAATTTACCTAACGAACTATCAAAAATATCCAAATTTTTGCGAAAATGTCAATTTTGATTTCAGAAAGAGCATTCTATAAATCTAACAAGAAACCATTACTCAACTTTGTAGTCAAGTCTTCCTTGGAAAGGATTTAGTATGTCTGTGATTAAATCACACGTATATCAGCTTGGATTGGTGCAATCTAATACTAAAAATAACAGTATTGTATTCACAAAATTTTTTGGTGAAATGGAGTGAGCCGTTTCTGATTTAATCAAGAAAATAAATTGACACATTCATTAATTTTAATAGGGGAAAATCAGTTTCATCTTGACAAATACTAGGCCCGCCCACCCGCCCCCCATTTTTCCAGAGGATATATCGTCTGCCGATATAATTCTTATCTTAGAAAGTACTAGTCCCGCCCACCCACCCGTTACTTTCTTAGACACTATGTCATTTGCCAAAATCACTCTTTATCTCACCAAGTACTAGCCCCGCCCACCCGCCCTTTTTTTCCTCAGATGACATGTCATCTGCCAAAATAAGACTTATGTCAGCAAGTACTAGCCTTGCCCAACCGCTCTCTATTTTCTCAATGGGTAGTACTTGCTAAGATAAGTCTTACTTTGGCAAACTATATATCCTCTGAGAAAATAGGGGCGGATGGACGGGGCTAGTATTTGCTCAGACAAGACTAATTTTGGCAGACGCCATGCCCTCTGAGATACTAGAGGGCGGGTGGGCGGGGCTAGTACTCGCTAAGATAAGACTGATTTTGGCAGACGCCACACCTTCTGAGAAAATAAGGGGCGGGTGGGCGGGGCTAGGACTAGCTAAGATAAAACTGAGATTTTGCCCATTAACTTGTAAAAACTTGTTAAATTTATAAGGTGTTCAATTGTATAACAATTCACTCATTAATTTTTCTGAGGCATTCTGCATAAGCAAATTTAAAAAATATTAATTATATATTAAAAATAATTCACAAGCATAGACTCATCGTCTTTTGCACATTTTAGTTAGGATTTATTCAGCAGAATTTTGGGGTGACGTCATCACATTATTGGTGGGGATGATTTGACAAAATTTGGTTAGCGCTTTACCATCTACATGATATTCATAATAAACATATACAATTTGATAACAATCGGTCCAGTAGTTTTCGAGATAATCTATCGAATAGAAATCCGGACAGACGGCAGACAGACAGACAGACGGAAACGGGAGGATAATTCAGATATATAATGAAGCACAATAATTACGGTTTTAAAAAATCGATAGTAAAATTAACGATGTGTAAACATGCTTATGTTGTAAGATCTCGTCCACATTCATTGCGTAATTTACATATCAAAAATATCCAAATTCTTGTGAAACTGTTCATTTTTATTAAAGAAAGAGCATTCTATAAATCTAATAAGAAACCATTACTCAACTTAAGTCAAGTCTTCCTTGGAAAGGATTTAGGATGTCGGTGATTAAACCACACGTATATCAGCTTGGCTTGGTGCACTGTAATACTAAAAATAAGTGTTGTATTAATAAAATTTTTTGGTAAAATGGAGTGAGCCGTTCCTGATTTAATCAATAAAATAAATTGACACATTTATTAATTTTTTTGAGCCACCTGTATAAACAAATCTAAAAACTATGAATGCATTGATAAATCACAAGTAAAAACTCGTCATATTTTCCACATTGTGCATAGATTTAGGAATTTAACTCGTTACTACGGAAATTTTCCATTTAACACCTTTAAATTTCACAAGTTTTTACAAGATTAATAGGGGCAAAATCAGTTTTATCTTAACAAGGGATATATCATTCGCCGAAATAAGTCTTATCTTAGCAAGTACTAGCCCCGCCCACCCACCCGTTACTTTTTAGAGGGTATGTCAACTGCCAAAATCACTCTTATCTTACGAAGTACTAGCCCCGCCCACCCGCCCTTTTTTTTTCAGAGGGTGGTACTTGCTAAGATAAGTCTTATTTCGGCAAATGACATATCTTCTGAGAAAATAGGGGCGGATGGGCGGGGCTAGTATTCGCTGAGATAAGACTGATTTTGGCAGACGCCATACCCTTTGAGAAAATAGAGGGCGGGTGGGCGGGGCTAGTACTTGCTAAGATAAGACTGATTTTGACAGACGCCATACCTTCTGAGCAAATAAATTGACACAATCATTAATTTTTTTGAGCCACCTGCACAAGCAAATATACAAAATATGTATATATTTTT